ATTTTTGGTCCAAATTCGTTTTGACATGTTTTTTCAAAGAAAGTGACTTATAAATTTCAAATCTACACGTTTTGAAAAATATACAATATTTAAATATTCTGAGTGTACCAAATTCCAAGTAAAGGTTGAACTTAGGTCGTATTACATTTTTTTTTTATTATTTGTTTGACATCGAGGTTAAAATAAATCTACACGGCACCTTTGAGATGAAATAAAAGGGGGTTATTTTACATGATTGGTTTTTATTGAAAATAATAAATTTATTAATTTTCAATAGTAAGGTGACCTAAGTTAGACCTTTATTTTTAATTTGGCCAAAAATTAGATTTTTAAACACTACATATTCGGAAAACTGTCGATTTAACTTTTGGTCTACATATACACTTTTAATACACAGGGAAATGAATTTAGTTCTGATCCCCTCATCCTCTTCAAGCATTCTCACGCGGTAATATCCTGCTTCCCCTTTATTGCGTACGATATTGTGCACGGATCGACGTCCCCTTGGATTGTTGTAGCAATTTTTACGGCTACCTGCGGTGGTGGTGACTTCCGATTTTAAAATTGTTTTCCGGAACAAAGTTTCAAGTTTAGCCACTCCACCGCCGACGTTCATTTTAAGTATTCCGAGGTGAAATGTAATGAACAATTTAACTTTAAATTTCTATTTAAATGCAGACCGGGCGAATTCCATGATAACCACTAATTGACATTTAGTGGTTATCCCGCTTAAGAATTCATGCAGGTAACTCCGGAATTACCAAAGAATTTTCTATAAGGCGTATTCATTTTAAGGAAATTGTTCGAGGTAAAAAATTAGCTATTATTGTTCTGTTTTAATGAAGTCTACCTCGGCTTTGTTTCGTTATAATGGACAAGAAAAATGGAATGTATGAAATTAAATTATTTAATTTAAGCGTTATTTTAGTGGGTAATTGCACTTTTCTGTTAGAAAATGTTCAATTTTGGTTAAAATTTCAAAAAATTATTATTTTAGTATCTCAAGATAGAAGGTCAGTTAAATAGGAAATGTTGAGGAAAATGTTTTAGACAAATCGATGGTGATTTTGGTATTATTTTTAGAGTTGTTCAAAGTTTTTAAATTACTTTAAAAAACTCTAAAATATTCTGGTTTTGTTTGTTTTTTTTTAAATAGTGGGTTATTAGTTGACTTCTCTTATTCCAAGGTGCTTTCTTTTATGCCAGCTGATTGCGTCGTTCATTAAATTTAAAGGATACAAAGTTTACCATACAATCTATCAAGATAATTCAGCAAAAAATGAGAGTGCATTTGTAATTAGGCAATAGAATTTGTACTATGATTAAATGGATTATTAAATAGTAGAAATACAAACCTTTGTTATTAATAAAACAAAAACTAATGAAATTATGATCGCAGCTTTATGTAGCCCACCAAGACGTGCTATAAAGAATTATCAATAAGTGAACTTCTGGATAGCCAAGAATGCAGATTTATAGTAAGAGGATATTTTAATGCAAAACATACTCAATGGGGATCTAAACAAACAAGAACAAAAAAAAAGAACTATTAGTATCATGCCATCACCTTTTCAAGGAAAAGGAAACAATCTCAAAACCGTTAAATTAGACGGGATAGATATAGACTGGAAAAATAAAGTCAAATATGTAGGCCTAACCCTGGACAACAAACTTCTCTGGAACACACACGAGAAGGAAGTAGTAAATAAGGTCACAAACGCCCTAATGGTATGTAGAAACATTGCAGGTAAACGATGGGGATGTAACCCAAACATACTGCGATGGATGTATACTGCAATAGTGAGACCAATCATCACTTACGGGGCTATAGCCTAGAGTAACAGAACTAGTTTAGCTACTACAACAGCTAATATCTCAAAAGTACAAAGACTAGCCTGTGTTTGCATTACTGGTGCAATAAGAACCTGTCCTACGGCCGCAATGGAGGTGATCTTAATTCTCACTCCTCAACATTAGATGATAGAGATTGTGGCAAAAAGGACACGATATAGAATTATCAGGAACAAAGTAATCAGACGAAAGTAACATTGCTTCAGGACTAAAGATACCTGGGACGTGGGATGAAATGCTAAAGAAGTACAGTTTTGTGAAAAACTTCAAAACCACAGAGTTGGGCTGCAAGAAAGAATGGAGCCAAAAATCCATCGCGCTTGCAACCGAAAGACGTACTATTCAGTGGTATACGGACGGTTCCAAAACCATAGAAGGAACTGGAATAGGAGTGTATGGGCTAAGAACCAAGCACTCCAAAAGCTTGGGAAAATACCCAGGCGAAAATTCACGCCATCAAGAAGTGTACCCAGTTTAACATCGAGAGAAACTATCATAGACAAGATATTATCATCATGTCCGATAGTCAAAACGCTGAACTCTTACGTAATCAGCTCAAAAACGGTCTGGAGATGCCTAGAACAATTGAATGAGCTAGGCGAGAAAAATAGAGTTACTCTCACTTGGGTCTCTGGACATAACGGGGTATAGGGTAACGAGATTGCAAGGAAAGGGGCTCAAACACCCTTTGTAGGAGCCATTCTGCGGTATCAGCATTAACATAATATTAGGAGAGATTAAAAAATAATTGGGCAGTAGAAGAAGCGATAATTGGAACAACCTCTTGGGGGTGAGACAGGCCAAGATAATTTTGGGTGAATATAACTAGAAAAGATCGGAAGCCTGCATCTGTCTGAGCAATAACAGGCTACGTATTGAAACAGGGATATTTACCAGGCATTGCCGACTATAAGGACACCTAAGTAAACTGAGAGTAGTAGAGGATAGATAGTGAATGAAAATTATGTGAGGAGGAGGACATGTTACTTTATTTTCTTATACAAACTAACGAAACATCTCAATTTGATACTGCATTTAATTTAATGATTATTTTCGGCAATTTATCTTTTAATTATCTAAATAAAAGTACACCTACGATACTGAATTCTTTCTTAGTTCTCACTGTTTAACTTGTATCATAATCTTTAAATGAATATTTATTTTTTTTTTTTTTATTTTAAAAATATCACCTAGACTCAGTCTAATTAAACTTCAATTTCATTTTACAACTGTACCTTTAATCCTTATTAAATATTGTATGAACAAATATTAGCCAAAACCCATATTTTATACAAGTGACAGTAATTCCTTATTTGGCAATCTTTGATTTTTAAATATATCTCGCTAAATTAACTTTTAAATCATGTGCAACGTGTTACTGAATTTTTAAGAAATACTTTAAAATTTATACATAAATCCTTATTTTTTCTAATTTGACAACACCGCACAAATCTAAAAGAGCATGTGGCAAACGAAAAATATTTTGTCCACGACTGTTCTATAAAACATTCATTATACTTGTACTTCCTTAAGAATAATAATACCTATTATTCACTAGTGAATAATGATCCATTAGTCACGGTATGACGTCATGACAGCACGTATGTCTAAACTGATATGAAAATATTCTTTATAGGTAATCGAAAAATCGAAAAAAAATCGAAAATAAATCGAAAAAAATCGAAAAAAAATCGAAAAAAAATCGAAAAAAATCGAAAAAAAATCGAAAAATCGAAAAAAATCAAAAAATCGAAAAATCGAAAAATTGAAAAATTGAAAAATTAAAAAATTAAAAAATCAAAAAATCGAAAAATCGAAAAATCGAAAAATCGAAAAATCGAAAAATCGAAAAATCGAAAAATTGAAAAATTGAAAAATCGAAAAATCGAAAAAAAATCGAAAAATCGAAAAAAAAATCGACAAATCGATAAAAACGAAAAATCGATAAAAACGAAAAATCGATAAAAACGAAAAATCGAAAAGTCGAAAAAACAACAGTTAGTTACCTATGTTTAATAAAAACTTTCCATTCTACACTTAACTTTTATTTAATAAAGAAACCATAATGGTCGTGGACAAAGTATAGTATTAGACTCGCAATTTATGGCCATTATTCACTCGGGTGACTTGCGCCATTCGCCTAATAATGGCTACCATAAATTGCTCGTTTAATAATATACTATTATTATTACAAATTAATATAAATTTTAATACTACCTCGTTCGGTACATTGAAAATAAATAAAGTATCTTTATTATCCGATTATTAAAAATATCTCAAATGTGACACTTTATTTGAAAGACAATTTTATTAGTAATTTAATACCGTAGAACCTACTCATATTTTTTTTACTAAATCAAAAATCACATAAAAACGACAATCAGAATTCAATCGAAATAGGTTTTCAAACATTCCCATTTCAATTAACGTCAAACTTCAAAGTGCAGCTGTTTGTGATGGCAATTCTGTGTTTGGCACTTATTGGATGTGACTTCATTTTATTGAAAGAGTACAATCAAAAGTGGTTGAAGATAAAATACCTACTACTTTTTAAGATTTATAATGTAAGACGAAAATTTTATTATTTATTACAAAATACTTTTTTGTATTATTAATAATATTTTGATTATTTATAAATTATTTCGCATTAATTTTGAAAGATTTTTATGTTTAATAATCTGAGCTTCTTGGGGTCATATTTATTGGTATACATCAAAAAAATACAGGGTGAGGCAGCGAAAACAAAACCAACTGAATATTTTAAAAAAGAGATTTAAAAAATGCAAAATAGACTATATTTGTATCTTATTCTATCTTTTTCTCAACGAAAACGAAAGGAAATTTATGGGAAATTTGGCAATATGACTATTTGGTGAGCTCTTGATTTTTAACGCTATTTGGACTAATAACCTTATTAGTAATTTAAAGCACAATATAATAAAATATATTTAAATGAAATATGAATTTAAATAAATAAATAAAACCCGGCAGAACTTCAATGTTGTAGAAAAGAAATTCCAGTTTGTATGTAAGAAATGTCCAGTATTGGGATATTTTTATTTACGCCTTCTCATTAACACTGAGTTTTGAATTGCTATCAGATATAAATTTGAACCACCCTTTATATTTCAAAATATAACATAACTTACCTTTGTTATTAGGTATAACATCCGGATTCTTATCATCTTTGTCGAATAGATCTTCGGATTCCGATCTCAAAGGCAAGTTGACTTTATCCTTCGCGCTAAAGAATGCCGGCCTAAGGGCCCCTTGATCCCTCTCGACGAGCAGCTCGAATTTTCATCGCACCTAAGATGACTACTGTTACGAGAAGAAGGGCTGTTACAATGCCAACGAGAATCCCTAAGATGGGCGCGATTTCCATTTGGTCTCTGGTTCCCAACGAGAGGACTGTGTAAAGAAAAATAAACCAATTATATTTGTTTACTTCATGAGTCTGGAAAGTGTTATTTTAGAGGATAAAGCGGGTAGTTTGGATCACCAGGGGAGTCCTGATAGTCTTCCAGTCAAGCAGAGTATAGTTTCCAAGCATTTTAGGTAAAAATATTTTATTTAACCGTCACAGTAATATAAAGAACTGTTTTTACTGCCATGCGAGCAATGATATTAAATTAGTTAACGTTGACAAGATCATATATCCTTATGAGCATGTACAGTGTACAGTACAAGCCTATAAGAGTAAAATGTCAATTCCCTCAAAAGTTCTATGTTCCATATTTATTTAATGAATATATTGCAAATGGTATATCCTTTATAAATTAAAATTAATTGCAAATTTGTTAAAATCTATTGCCAAGATGGTAAAATACATCGCTAAGATGTTAAAATACATTGCTAAGATGGTAAAATACTTTTCTAAGTTCCGATTTTTTACTTTTAAATAAAGTTACAAGTACAGTTTCTTAGCAGATTGGTAACTTATAACTTATAACCTAATCAGCAAGGAGTTAATTTTAAATTTACTTAAAGATGAAAAGGCTAGCCCTTAGGTGTATATAGATCTTGCTAAGATGTTAAAACAGTTTGATAAGATGTTAACATATTTATTACTAAAATGTTCAAATATTTTTCAAAGTTGTACATTTAAATATTTTGCTTTAATCTTAAAATAAATCGCTAAGAGGTTAAAATACATTGTAAAAATGATAAAATACATTTTTAAAAATGTTAAAATACGTTGCAAATGTTAAAATACGTTAAGAATATATTAAAATAGGTTGCTAGGTTGATAAAAATGTTTGTAAGATAATAATATACGTTGGTAAGATATTATATTATTTTCCCATTACCATAGAATAAAAGTAATTTGTTAGTTCAACAGAAAGTCCCCTTGATCAATCGTCTATTCTTGATGCATATAGCGATCCTTCTTCTATCTTTTCACAGAAAAATAGCATTTGGAATTACTCCAAATTAGGTAGCTCACCCTATTACATTTGTTTTCCTCCTAAGTATAGTGCCCTTGGATTTTTGGGGTGCTACACATCCATTCAGTATATAAATAGAAGTTTCGTCTTCCTTCTCACAGAATCTATGCTTAGTATCGTCCATTAGTGTTAGTTTACTAAAATACCCTTTCCGTCGGTAATGTCTGGTAAGAATCCTTATAGCATCGTTCGGACTAAGTTAAAATCTCTCAGAAATATCTTAGTTTAACTTAGTCGCAAAAATCGTTCTAATTATTAATTCTTTTCTAATTTATTCTAATATTGTAATTACCATAAAATGGATCGTATTAAATCAAATAAAATCCATACTACAATTTAAAACAAAAATAAAAATTGTTTGTTTATTTTTCCGTTTCTTTTATTTTCTCTCCAACGTATGACATTTCATATCTTATAAGAGAGATATTAAAGAAGATTTTAATTTTATAAAAGACATTAAAAAAAAACACTTTTTCTTTCAAGGAAGAAATATTATTTGGTATTTTTGCCTTTCTTATGTAATTTAATATGGGAAATCGTTAAGGTTCATTCTGGCAATTTTTACGGTGACGTCACACGTCGAGGATCTTATTAATAACTAACCTCTCGAGCCACCAGCAGGGAAGCGGGGGAGTGGGGGGGAATGGGAAGGAATTTAGCGTCGAACAAAAAAATCATGCGCAAAACGAAAAGCCACAAGGGCCTTAGCATGTTTCTCGGACATTACTGGTCCAATTTAAACGGAAAAAACGGCATTACGTAGAGAACGTGGTATAGATTAACGTCAAATAGAAAACTCATGCGCAGAACGAAAAGCCAGAAGGGCCTTAGCATGTTTCTCTGATATTACTGGTCAAATTCAAACGGAAAAAACCGGGCATTATGTAGAGAACGTGATATAGACTAACGTCGAATAGAAAAAACATGCGCAAAACGAAAAACCAGAAGGGCCTTAGCGTGTTTTCTCGAGGTAAAGTTACTTCACTAATAAAAGATCAGTAGATTATTTACGTGACATTAAATTAATGTCAATAGCATATTCTAATTTGGCGAAATACTTAGGAATGAAGCTAGATATTATAATAAATTGGAAGGAACACATAAAGAAGAAACGGGAAGAGTTTGGTGATAAATATAGAAAATTATACTGGTTGATACATAAAAAATCAAAACTTTTAATCGGTGACATACAGCTCTAGGGGTGTTCTAGTAAAAATAACATAAATATAATACAACTTTTCCACAATAAAATATTAAGGGCAATAGTAAACGCTCCTTGGTATGGTAGAAATAAACTTTCGTTTATAATGAAGAAATATTGGTTTTTAGAAGTTATATCAGAAGACACTTGGTTTTTAAGATATCTTACTTTAAATAGTAGAAATTACAGAAGATGCGTCCTCAGAAAATATATACGTTTCCGGGTCTAACCTTTCACTTTCTAGTGCTTCTTTAAGCCGCTGTGCTCTGCTTTCTTCAATTATCAATTATCTATAAATAACATCGATAAACTAAATTCAAAAAGTTGGCTCTATTGAAGATTATTCAGCATCTTGGCGATCCTTACCATTGTTTGTTTTTTTTTTTTTTATGGAAAAACAAAAAAGTTAGGAAATTATTGAAAAAGAAATGGAATCCAAAATTATTCAGCTTTGGACTTCTGAATAAGCGAAGCCTTCATCTAATAGAGGAGGAGTTACGTGAACACTAATTGAAAGCTTGCAAGCCGATTTTTGACCTGCTGCATTAGCACCAGAAAATTTATAAATACATGTGCGGTTATAAAAATGATCATTTTTTATTTTTTATCTGAATAGATAGTAAAATAATTTGTTTTAAAAGTTATTTTTTTATTCGTTAAAATTATCTCGTTATATCATCACTTTATTGTCACCTTTATTAACACTTATAAGCTCTTTATAGGTTGTTAAATGGTTCTATAGCTAAATTAAAAAAATATAAATGTAGGACAGATTTATAGTTCTATTTTGTCATTTTATTGTTCCATATTGACCTAGCGCAAATTCCATAAAATGCTGGTAACGTAATTTTAGTACCCCCATCTATTTATTTTAAAATTTGTTCTAATAAATAGGCAACGCTGTTATCGAACGAAATTCACGCTGCAGAAATATTATTTCGATTGTCACCGCTAGAAGCACAAACAGGTAAATCCAGAGTTTATTTTTGCGTTCGTTAGGATACGTCGTAGCCTGGAATTTTACGGTTATGGTATCCGATGTAATTTTACGATACGCGCAAAAATCAAATATTTTCATTTTACTTTACCCTGGATTATTATTGAACAACGCCAGCGTCGTTCCAAATGGTTTTTTCTACATTAATATTTTTTTAACCCATATGATAACATTGTTTAGTCAAGTACAGTGAAATACGTTGGAAGTTGTAATAGGTCTCAATCGATTTTAGAATTATTTAATCTTATTTATTTTACAATATCCTACATAATTTTCCTATTTAGAGAATAAGGTAAATAAGCTAAATAGTATTTACATAATATAAACAATAAGGAATAAAAAGGAAAAGGATAGTGATAAGTTGATGTACACTGAAAAAAAAAAAATTAAATAAAGATAAAAAAAAGGATACGCCTACCTACTTAACACAATTTTAATTCCATAAATAATAATAATAATAATAATATAATTGAGAAACAAACCAATATGAACAAAAAAATGAACAGATTTTATAAACACAATGAAAATTATACACGAAAGCAATAATTAAAAATGGCGAATAAATAACCGTTACTTACTAGATGAGATGAGATAGATGAGATATAGATGAGATATAGATGAGATATAGATGAGATATAGATGAGATATAGATGAGATATAGATGAGATATAGATGAGATATAGATGAGATATAGATGAGATATAGATGAGATATAGATGAGATATAGATGAGATATAGATGAGATATAGATGAGATATAGATGAGATATAGATGAGATATAGATGAGATATAGATGAGATATAGATGAGATATAGATGAGATATAGATGAGATATAGATGAGATATAGATGAGATATAGATGAGATATAGATGAGATATAGATGAGATATAGATGAGATATAGATGAGATATAGATGAGATATAGATGAGATATAGATGAGATATAGATGAGATATAGATGAGATGTAGATGAGACATAGATAAGATATAGAGGAGTTCCAGAGGAGATGCAAAGGAGATACAGATAAGACAGATGAAATGTAAATGAAATATGATATAAAGGATACATAGATGAGTTATAGATGAGATGTAGATAATATATAGATAAGATATAGATGAGATATAGATGAGACATAGATGGGATATAGATGAGATATTAAAGATATATACAGATAAGATATAGATGAGATATAGATAAAATATAGATGAGATATAGATGAGAAATAGATGAGAAATAGATGAGATATAGATGAAATATAGATGAAATATAGATGATATATAGATAAGATATCATCACAAAGCTATTTTATTGGTAAAGAAACAAGTGTGAAATTTTCTATATCAATATCAAGTTAAACATTCAATTTTTAAGTAGGTTAAAAAATAATTGGTTTTTCGAATAATTAGAAATAATGAAAGTATTCCCGTTATATGGTGGCGACAATGATTGGTGTTGGTGCTCACATATAGGCAGAAATTTCACAGAACATGTAATTTCTCGTTTAAAGTTAAAATTTCAGATAAAGTTTTACAAACTGATAAATTCATTATTCGAAATTGGCCGAACGAATATTGCTTTTATTAAATCTTGTTTACAGCATTTTTAAATGGAATTTTTATCACGCGAATTGATTTTTTGTGTTAATGTCGTTCCTGGGAGATTAAAAATGATAAAAAAAGAAAAACTGCAATTTTGTGTGCTATTAAATAAAAACAAAAAAGAAGTGAACAATGTTTCTGAATCACCAAATCTTTATTTTAGGCATAAAAAATATCCGTCTTTAATTTTTTGAATATTAAGTATTATTTAGGTAGTATATATTCCGTAATGTTTTAAAATCTCGTAAATTGCAAATTAAATAAAATTATTAATAATTAAAACCATATTTTAGTTGAGTAAAAAACAGTAAAGAAATGAAAAAGGTAAAATTATTTACTTACCAGTTTGTTTTTCAGCAATATTCAAAGTAAATCCATCCAAAGGCACTTGCTCGCTTTGTCCTTTAGAATTTGAAGCATAGATGATCATTTTCAGCATTTTTCCAGGATCTAGACCGCTGACAATGAAAACAGGGAATTTAGCTGATACGTTTGCTAATAAAACGCCTGTCGTCGAATCGTAAACTTCTAGAAGAAAATGTTGAGGTAAGCCACCTGGAATAGAGGAAATCGAAATCTTAGTTGATCTTATACCGACAGAAAATTTATATTTTTTTGTAAAATTAAAAATATAGCTATAGTAAACATAAAAATTCGTTATAATCGGGAAATATTGTTATTTATTGCACTATTATTTATATTATATTTATATAATAATAATAATTAAGAATCGATTATCTTAACCTAGATTCGATCAGAGAAAAATAAATAGTTTTGAGATGACAAGGGTCTATAATATTTTTAAAATACCTAAATTTGTACAGTAATGTCCTCAGAACTTTAACTACATTTTCAATATGAATGTCAAATCTAAGATGACAATCTATGTGCAGTCCAAGATACTTAACATTTTTTTAGCGGTAATATCCACTTTAGAATTTGATCTTTCTACTGTTAATATATCATAATTGGGTACTGTACTAACATTGTTAGAAAAAGGCACAAAGTAAGTTTTTTCGAAATTATCGGTTAGTAATTTATGACTAAATAAATCCAGTATATTTTTTAAATCATTTTTAGTTTTTTTTTTTAATTTGTCCAGGTATTATAAGGGGAAACAATTGCCGTATCATCTGCAAAGCTTACGTGATTTTATGAGATTTTACGAGATTTTACAAGATTTTACAAGATTTTGAAAGATTTTACGACATTTTAAGATTTTAAAAGATTTTATGAGATTTTACAAAATTTTACGAGATTTTAAGAGTTTATACAAGATTTAATATGATTTTAATATTTTACGAGATTTTACGAGATTTTACGAGATTTTACAAGATTTTAAGAGATTTTACGAGATTTTACGAGATTTTACGAGATTTTAAGATTTTATGAGATTTTACAGAATTTTCCGAGATTTTCAAGATTTTTCCAGATTTTCAAACATTTTTCAGCATTTTTCAACATTTTCCAGCATTTTTCAACATTTTCCAACATTTTCCAACATTTTCCAACATTTTCCAACATTTTCCAACATTTCCCAACATTTTCCAACATTTTCCAACATTTTCCAACATTTTCCAATATTTTCCAACATTTTCCAATATTTTCCAACATTTTCCAACATTTTCCAACATTTTACAACATTTTCCAACATTTTCCAACATTTTCCAACATTTTCCAACTTTTTCCAACATTTTACTACATTTTCCAACATTTTCCAACACTTTCCAACACTTTCCAACATTTTCCAACATTTTCCAACATTTTTCAAAATTTTCCAAAATTTTCTAACATATTCCAACATTTCCAACATTTTTTCTAAAACTTTCGTGATTTTCCGTGATTTTACGTGATTTTCCGTGATTTTTCGCGATTTTGCGTAAGTTTCCGTGATTTTCATTGTAGAGGTGAATATTTGATAATTTATTATTCCCAAAAATGAAAACTTTTAACTCATATGGAATAAGCATCTGGTCCGAACGTAAATTACAATAAAAAATCTGATGTGTCCAACACATGACTTTCCAATCTAGTTATTACAAGCTTTTTTCGGATATTTTGTACAACCTATTGCATCACCTCTATAAATGTTTAGAGGATAAACTAAATATATACATTTTCCACATACATCTAACGCGAAACATTTTTCTATAGATATTCATTGAAAACGAAAATACTGAAAAATTTAAATTAAGCACTTTTCCTTCAATTTTTCCATTACGGTCCATTTTAGAAAAATCATATAAAAAATAAAAATTATAGAGATCGATTTTGTTTAACATTTTCTTAAAAATTAAAATTTTGCACATTTTGTCAAATTTCTCGAATACGGACCATTTTAGGAAAATTTGACATAAAACAAAAATTACAGATTTAATAATATTAGAAGTAACTTTTATTTGAACAATTTTCTTCTTCAAACGTAAATAACAGATATATTCCATAAAACATAAAAATGGCCACGTATAAAGTACATCGCCAGATGTTCCGACTCTGCCCAAAATCTAATCAATTTATTGTAGTTCGAAATAAAACTTAAGTTTAGAATTTAATGTTTTTCCTTTATCCGTTTTTGAGTTTTCTTCAAAATTCGTAATTTACACATTTTTTCAAATATCTCGAATACGGTCCAGTTTAGAAAAATTTTGTATAGGACAAAAATTATGGAAAATTATATTACAAACAACTTTTGTTCGAACAATTTTTATAAAATAATATTTTTTTTCATTTTGTCAAATATCTCGAATACGGGACATTTTAGGAAAATTTAGTATAAAACAATAATTATAGATAATAATATTATAAGTAACTTTTATTTAAAGAATTTTCTTTTCCAAACGTAAATAACAGATATATTCCATATAATATAAACATGACCACCTATAAAGTACCCCCTAGATGTTCCGACTTTGCCCAAAATCAATTTGTTTATTGAAGGCCGGAATAAAGCTTAAGTTTTAAATTTGGTTTTTTTCTTTGTATCCGTTCATGAGTTATGGTGGATACACACACAGACATCATCGCGAAAATAGTCGAAACGGATTCAGGAGACCCCAAGTCGAAAACAATCATGATTCTTATACTTTCCTTATCTGTATACAGAAAAGAAAAAGCAAATAAAATGCTAGGTTTCCTGATTAGAACATGCCATGGTTTCAAAAATCCCCAAACCATACACACTTTGTATACGTCGTATGTAAATAGTATTTTGATATTTAGCTCTATCATATGGAATCGTTAATATCGCACATCCGATCAAATAGAGTTATAACTTGAAAAACTTGAATTGAGTTGAATAGATAAAAATGCTCCAAATTAAACGCTGCATCCTCTCAAACAGTCATATCTGTAACTCCACATATTCGCCACTAGATGGCAGATGTCACGCTTTAGCACTAAGACCAGTTTGCTCTTTAGTGTTCTCAGAACACTAATCATCAGTGTGACATTTATTAATTTACTTTTTTCAAGTTACAACTCTATCGGAGGTGCGAACTGATCTTTATATCAATAAACTAGAATAAATACAAAATATATTTATTAAATTTACTAACAAAAAACGTCATTACAATCGCGACAGCAATAACATGGTTGGTGTTAAAATAATTTCCTTGGCAAACAGAAGATACATTGCAGACTCTAAATGTATGTACCAATTAGTAAATAGCCTGGTTGAGTCTACTATGATCATAAATAATATTATAGTCTGTATATTTATCTCACAATGTCAGAAACAAGCAACTATTTTATTCTGAACAGTGTATTACTAAAATTTTGAAATTTAAATGTCAGTACTGATTACTTTTGAGAATATTGGTGACAGAATTTCTATATCATCTGTTAAAATAAAATGTTTCACTTTGAAAAACCTGGTCATATGGCAAGTCGTTGTCCCAATACTATAAAAACACTTCTTGTAAACCAATTTCTACAGTACTCGATCTTCCAAACACACCAGGCAGAAATAAAGATCTATCTCTGAATGTAAATGAAATTTTATCACTACAAACATCTGCCCAAAACGACCCCTTTCTGTCATAAGTTCCAATCTTCTGACTCTTTTATTTTAAATGACCTTTTGATGTCTTTACTAGACAAACCTATCGCGCTCAAAGTTAAGAAGAAAACAAAAAAAAACTTCCCAAGTTTTCTGAGAGTTCAAAAAAGATCGTAAGATATGTATATTCGAATACTAGAATACTCGAGTCACTACAAAATAAATTTACTAACAAAAAACGTCATTATAATCACGACAGCAATAACATGGTTGATGTTAGTTTTCCTGGCTAACAGAAGGTACATTGCAGACTCTAAATTTATATACCAAAAAAAATAACCTGGTTGACTCTACTGTGAGTATACCATTTCACAATGTCAGAAACAAGCAATTATTTTATTCTGAACAGTATACTGCTAAATACTATCTAAATTCACCTCTTCACAGATGTATCAAAAGCTACAATTTATTTAACCTCACAGAAATTGATATTTTTCTTGATTCCTTACATACATTTTTGAAAATTTTAAACAAATATTTTTTAAATATTGAAGTCTAGAGTTATAATTTCTTTTTCCTTTTTCTATTTCCTTAAATAATATTTTTAAATAGTAAATAATATCTTTAGATACCTTTATAATATTATAATATTTTTAATGTTTATCTTTAATATTTTTTATTTTTAAATTTACTTGAGTTGAAATTAATATATTGCTATTATTATATTTTAAATTGTGAGTACTATTTTTGGGTTCATACTGTTCGTAATCCTGATTGTTAATAAATAAATAAAACTGAAAGAACAGAAAAATAGAGTCACTTATTGAAAACTACTTTGTTTAATAGAATCAAACACCGTTTGAGCAGATGCCCACCCATTGTGGAAAAAGGAAAAACGGTAAATAATTAGGATAAAAAAAGTTTAGAAACTACTGGGCAGTTATTCGACGGTGAAGTGGCGAACGGTTCGGAACGAATTGGAAAGCGCCTAGGGAAAGTTTATGACGCGAAAGAGGGAAACAGAGGTGTTAGAGCTCTTTACAGAGGTTTATTATGATTGTGTTTGCGAGATACTTCTAAAGGATGTACCTACCTTCTTCCTACACACGGTATTTCGAGGTGATATTCATTATTTTGGCCATTGCTTATTATAATTATTTAAATACATATTTTCTTCTCTTCGCCATCTAGATAGAAGACACAAGGAATGATGAAACAAATTTTAAATAATTATTTCCTCTCCTATATTGAAACATTTTAAGTAATATACATGAATGTTTTCCTTACCATCATATCCTTCACTGCACTCAACCTCCAGGGACTCATTCGTCATATTAACTATGGTACAATTATATGGCGGATCCGGTTTCCCAGCAGGAATAATGTGAAATATACAAGGCTCCTGCTGTTTGCCGGCCAAATTACTAGCCCAACACATCACAGTGCCGTAGTCCATTTCGTTAACGGGGTTGTAGCTGAGGGTGGAGACGAACCGGTGTAGGCCTGTTTTGAATTTTGTTGCAGGAACTTCCGTGGACTCTGCCGAGTTGTTAAACAGCCATTTGAAATTGTCGGGTGGGGGATACGATTCGACTTCGCATAATACTTTCACTTTTTCCATTTTGGCTACGCCGTAGATGCGTTTTTGTTCCGAACGGCAAATTGGTTTGTCTATAATAAAAAGAAACATTTATTTTGGTATTAAATAATTATTTGGAGATTTACATAAACATCCGTATTTACAAAGTATTTTTAAATAGTTAAATACGAGTATTAATCCCAGAATCTTATTCAGGCTATAAGGTATTTTTACCACCTTTAATATAAAATAAAAAAAATTAAATTTACAAATAGATTTGTGTTAATATTTGGTTTAAACAATATATACAACTTCCTTTTTTAGATTCCCTCTTATAAATTATTTAATTTGTATTTATTTCATCTTCAAACATCGAAGTATATTTTGGTGTAATTCCTTATTAGCCAGAGTCTTTTTTCGTTCTTCCTTTAGATAAAACCGAAACAAATTAACTGCTATTTTTGATATTGGTCTTTAAAAAATATTTCAAATAAAATATAACGCTTTTATATCGAAAGCCGTTTGTTAAAAACTTACACAACAATGATTTTAAAAAAGATCGTGATTTTTAAATAATTTTTTATTTAATTGTTCATTGTGAATTGAAAACTATGGTTTTTATTTTTCAAAGCGTGTACAATGAAGCAAACGGTACAACAAAATATTTGTCAAATATAATATCAAATGGTAGAAATATAAACGGTGAATATATTTAATATCCAGTTCACTGGAACCAATTGTTTGTAAAATTATTAAATTTCAATAACGTGTAATAATTTTCAGCAAATAATTAGAGTCAATTCTGCTTTTTGGTATATTAAAAGAATATTATGCTACCAATTTAATGGCAGGGACAAAAAAATGGGATATCTAAAAATTTTATAAATATTTATTTGTCGAGAGTTTTTCTATTATTTTTACCAATTTGATTATTCTTTTGGCGTGTTACATATAAAATTATTATTTTTATAGGTTTTATAAATTACAAGGTGTCAAAGTTTTTTACCAACCAATCATCCGACGTGTTCCGGAAAATTTTTCCAATTAATATGGGATAAGAAATATATGGGTGGCTCGTCTGAGATGGAATACCCTGTATAAATATATAAAATATTTCTATTTAGCAAAAACGACGTTTCTTAAATTTTGTTACTTTAAAAAACCCCTATTTATTTATAAACTGATAAAGGCTGATTTCATTTTCAAAAAGCCACATTTAATAAAATTTTAAAAAACCATTGTTCTGTTTATTTTATTTTCGTAGAAACGAAATGCTGACATGAAAGAAATTCTATAAAATTCTAATTTCATTTATGTTCCCTATATCATATGAAATTGGAGTAACATCAGAGTAAGTACCTGATATTTAAAATGGCATTCAATGTGATTGAAATCAAATCAACTTTGTCTTTCCGAGGCAGTTTCTCTCATAAAATAAAAGTATCTTATTACATGAAAGAAAATTTATATAACGTCGTTTTACATTTATCTGAGAAGCACTAAATGTACAAATGTGATGTATTAAAGAAATATAAGAAAGAAAATGACGAGTATGTCAGTGTAGAAATTTATTTTCCTACGACAGCACATGAAAATGATAGTTTACACACTCATTTTTACACAAGAAAGTACGTGTACTGAACTATATATCACATTTGTATTGAAAAGTAAAAAAACAGACATGTATTGAAATGTCATATTAATATAATTGTCAATACAAATTTTTATGTATAAAACGAGATGCAATAAAGGTTATTTGTAGGTTTTAAAAGTAAAGGAGCAGCAACAGTTCGGGGCCATTCCTTATGTAAATTAACATGGGAAATCGCTAAGGTTCATTCTGGCAAATTTACAGTGACGTCACACGTCGAGAATCTTATCAGTAACTAACCTCTCGAGCCACTAGCGAGGAAGCGGGGTGTGGGGGAATGGGGGAATTAAATCTCTTTTAACGTCGAACAATCATGCGCAGAACGAAAAGCCAGAAGGGCCTTAGCATGTTTCTCGGATATTACTAGTCCAATTCAAACGGGAAAAACGGCATTATGTAGAGAACGTGGTATAGATTAACGTCAAATAAAAAATCATGCAAAGAACGAAAAGCCAAAAGGGCCTAAGCTTAAATTTCCATTATAACTGGTCCGATTCAAACGGGAAAAAACGGCATTATGTAGAGAACGCGGTATAGATAAAGCCAAAGAGAAAAATCATGCGCAGAACGAAGAGCCAGAAGGGCCTTAGCTTCAAGTTACGCAACGTGCTGTGAGTTCTATCCCATTATATTATAGATAGTTTATATGTTTATAGATTACATTTAAGATATAAGATAGTGTGGAAACTAACTCTTAAAAATATTAACCAGTTTTTTTCAGATTACTACGTTTCCACGTCTATTAATATATAAATATTTTCATGTAGATTTGATTATGTTATTAATAAATATTTTTAAATATTATTTCTGATTTTTATTAAACGCTTTATACTTCCTCACTATAGCTACTCTTTTATTACTATGTACACTTATAGAATTCAAATTATACATTCTCAATGAGTTGGTTCAGTAACTGCTTACACTTACTTAATGAGTTGGTTCAGCAGCTGCTTCTAGATAGTGATATTTAGCAGACTTTAAATTTACATATTTTGACTAATTTGAGTTGTCATTTACTTAATATAGAAGTTTCATAAAAAATTAATATTTAGTTGTTAGCTAGTATTATTTTAATTCCAGGTTAATATTATGTTTGACTATCGAGTACTGCCTTTGGAGAAAATTAATATAGATTGATCTATCAAACATGGTTATCATTCTAAAGTTAGGGTCAAAAGACTATAGTATGCTTAATGCTTATGCGATTGACATTATATATGTTGTAAAGTGTTACTAGAGATCTAAGGAGTTTAATGGTATAGCTGGAGTATGGATAAAGGCGCTGGAAGTACAACGAACATTCTTTAAGAGGGTCTATGAGAAAAACCAAAAGTCAGTTGATACAGCTTCAGTTCATGGAAATCTGCAGATGCTGCAGCAGAAGATAGAAAGTCTTATGGATATAGATCGACAGTTATTGGAGAAGATGTTGGAGTCCATATGGATGATGCTGAGATAGATTTGGAAGTAGAAAAGGCTGATGCCATTCTAGGGAAGTACAACAGGTTAAAGGCTAAGGTATAATTCAATTATAATAAAGATTCTGTTTCTGTTTCAACAAATTCATTAAAGAAAAAACATTTAAAGCTACCAAAAATTGAGTTAAAAAGATTTGGGGGTAACCTGAAGAAATGGTTATTATTTTGGGACCAATTTAGACGTATTCATGAGGATACTGAAATTGTTTCAATTTTCTCTGGTATTTCCAACCCTTAGGGCGACCATATTAGCCGCTGGCTCCAGGTAGGAGTGTGTTCTATTCCTTTCAATAGTAATTTTGGTTTCTAGCTTGTTCGATCGACTTCATGGACACACTGTTTGAACAATTTTACTTTGTTTTTTGATTTAAATGTTATTAAGTATGATTTTGACTCACCTTAGGTTTGAAAATACGAAAAAAAGTATAAATCAATTATATACAGGGTGTTATTGAAATACACGTACATACTAAAATGGGGAATAGTATGCAATGACCAAAAACGATTGGCACCAATTTTAACTTCAAATTCTAAAATTTAAATATTGGGGAAGAGTCCCCTTTTCCGACCTACTAGTTTCCATATTTAAAGAAGTACAATAAATCGAAATTGAACGTACCCATAGAAATTGCACTGTTGCCGTAGCAAAACCAATTAATTCAAAATAAAGTTTATTACAGTAATTGTTCAAAATGCCGTCCATTATTATTTACACACACTTGCAATCGTCTTTCCAAAGAACTTTGAACATTAGAAATTAGTCTTGGATTTTGTCGTAGTTCCTCGGCTACCGCATTAACTTTATTGGTTAATTGTTCAACACTATTAATAGGTTCATTATAAACCAGTTGTTTCATGTGACCCAACAAAAAAAATCGCATGGATTTAAGTCCGGAGATCTCGGAGGCCACTTAGTAGGTCCATTTCTGCCTATCCACTTTTGAGGAAATCTAATGTTCAAAAACTGCCGTACGTTTAAATCAAAGTGAGGAGGAGCGCCATCTAGTAGGTACCACATCCGTTGCCTTAATTGTAACGGTATCTCTTCTAGGAGTACTGGCAAAATATCTTCTAAAAAGTGGAGATATCCTGGCCCATTTAATCTGTTCGGGAGAACATAAGGCCCGATTAAATACTGATCTATTATGCCAGCCCAAACATTTATTGAAAATTTTCTTTGATGCCCAGTTTCCCTAATGGCGTGAGGATTTTCATCACTCCAAATATGCGTACTGTGTATATTGAACATGCCATCACGAGTGAATGAAGCCTCGTCAGTATACAATAATATTTTTAGAAAATCAGGAATATCAACACATTTTTGAATCATCCATTCACAAAACTCCACTCTCTTTTCTTCATCACCTGGATATAAGGCCTGGACTTTTTGGATGTGATAAGGATGTAAACCTTGTTCTTTAAGTGTCCGCCACACAACAAATGAGGACACTCCAATTTCAAGACCTAGTCTTCTACAACTTAATTGAGGCAGGCTGCCCCATAAACCAGCACTATATCCGTTAGTTCAATATTCGTAAATAGTGGCATCGTAAAAAAATATTTAAAAGTAATCGTAACAACACTTTTTACCAACTTGGAAATGACGCGCTCGTGTTAGCCAGATTCGTAAATCAACTAAAATTTTAATAATCTATAGTTTCAAAAATGTATAGTTTAAAAACAATCATTTATCAAATATTCTAGTTTTTTGATAACGAGGGTAGTAAAAACCAGTCTTCGGAAATAGAAATTAATTCGAAAATCTTGGCAACATGGTTATTTCTTACAAGACTAGTTTTCTTATCATCTGACAAAAACTTGCATATTAATTACTGTTGATGTTTAAAATAGGTAAATAAACCTAATTTATATAGGTCATCCTCAACATATCAGTGAAGTACGTTTGTTTTAGAATTAATTTTCAAAAATTAATAACTCCCTTAATAAGGGGTATTTTTAAAAAATAATATTTTTCTACATTCAGTGGGGATCTGCGCAATACCTAGTTTTAATATGTACGTGTATTTCAATAACACCCTGTATAGTAATTAAATACTTCTTAAACATAAGAAGACTAAAAAATTTTATTATTTGACATTTCTTTTCTAGATAATGAGCGATGTTGCCAAGATTAACTGATTACTTGTTACTATTTCTGCCGTTACCCGCAATATTTAAAAAACTGAGTAGTCTGGGTATTAACAGTTTAGATTTAGATGTCCATTTATTTTATTCTAGAACATTTTTGTTAGAATAATAATTGTGAATGTCATTCACAATTTTGTCTTTAATCATTTATTGTGTTGGAAATACATAGTATTAATGCTCTACTCATATATAAACTAGAAAAATAAGTAATGTTTAATTTTATTTGTGAATTATCTAAAGTAATCTTTTAAATAAACTTATTTCGTTTAAAATGCTATGAACCTCTTCGCAACCAATAAAAATGTCAGAAAATCACAGTTATTTAGTTAATCCTTATGTTATTGTCTCAATTTTCTTGAACTTATATAGCCCCAATCTATAAATAAATCATTGTTATTTTTTTTACTCATCATTTAATTTTCTTCCTTCACCCTGTGACACAGAGAAACTGTCGTGCGAAAGTCTGTAATAGCCAATAACGGAATTGACTCTACTACAATAAATCTTCACCCTTGCGACCAAAAAATTAATAAATCCCCAAGAGAACCTCCTTAACGTCAGATTAAAACCACCTCCGCGGACTTACACATAATTTTCAGGTCGACTGTGTTGCTGTCTCCATCTCCTTCGACGTTCGAGGCCACACATGAGTAATTCCCCGCTTGGCTGCGGGTCACACCTTGCAGGGCCAGCGCCAACGTGCTCATGATGACGCCGCCCTTCTGGTTGGCCTGCATCACTTGACCCTGCAAAAAAATAACATTTATCAAATAAATTGTTTTATTCGGCCGGACGCGCGGAATTACGGCGACATCTGAGGTATAAAGGCATGGCGCGGTCAGTAGGATTGTCTTTTGAGCTGATCTTTATTAATGGCCGAGCGGACACTTGATATAGGGGATTTCTGCGACGAAAATCTTTCGCTTTTTTGAGATTATTTTGGAATTATGTCAGTTATATTTCTATATACGGGTCGGTATTACAGTTAAAGATGAAAATCGCACATTAACATACACGACAAAGTATCTCCATTAACTATTTTCATCTTTTTAGGAATATTAGACAGTTATGAGCTAAATTAAATTAGACAAGTTGGCTGGTTTCTGCGTGATTAAAATTTTTTAATCCCAAAGGATTAAGCGTGACAGTTTAGTCCCTTAAATGCAGGACTAAAGTATTAGTTGGAGTAAAATAACATTATATTATATGATTCGTGTTCTAAAAAGGAGTTTTTGCTTGCCACCAATACAAATGTTACATTATAACTAGGTATTAGATATATTTAATTATCATTATTGCTATTGTTTCCAATCAATTTTCAAATTAATTAGTTCAAAATTTCTGTGTAAAACAGTTGTGTTCAATCATTTCCAATACTGTAATATTATCGGAGCCTAACGGTCTAACTCGATAATAAATCGGTTAACTATTAAATGGTTTCCGGTTTATGTATTCCAAGTGAAACTATTTCGATAGCTAAATTAATTCATTGGTTAGCAAAAACATGTTTCGGTGAATATATGCTAAATATTTGTTGAATATGCCAGCAAATTAGCAAAATTGAAAATAGTGGTTTCTGCACTTTCTGCACTTGTTATTAAAAGGATTAGGGATGGATGAAGGAGTTATGTTACAAATTATAAGGTTTGAAAAAAAATGCAGTAAAATTATTTAATCAAAAAACATTAAGTACACACTGCTTAAAATTAATTTTTTTAAATTAGAACTATCATCAAAGTATTTCTAAAAATATTACATTATAGATTCAGAATTTAAATTAATAACAAATGTATATTGAACTCAGGAGATATAGATAAAAATTTGACAAACGTTTAAACAGACCAACATTGTAACAAAATTATGGACTAGCTGCAATCGTTCGAACAAAAGAGGTTATGGTTGCGATGAATTAATAAAACTATATACAGGGTGTATCAACGATACGTGGGTGAACGATAGCTGCTTCCCTATGTAAGATAGGAAAAAATGCTTCAAATAAAAGTTGTAGAGGGCATTAAAAGCTACGTTCCAAAAATAACTACCAATATACAGGGTGTCCGATAAATGTATGAGTTATCGAAGTAATGTTTTTTTAAAGGAAACACCCTATATATTTTTACTCGATTAAATTTCTTTGGAAGAGTGTTTCTCAAAAATATAGGGTTGTATGGGTTTATACTGGGTGGTTAGGAATTTATGGTGGGATTTAGGTAACAAAATGGGTTTATTCAACATCAAATATCTCTAAATCAATAATTTGGAATAATTTTTTTTTCTGCCGAATATTCTCGAAAATAGTGTATTTTCATTTCCTATTCATAATTTTACCGAATGGCGCTTTTCCCATACAGAGGCAACCAAAACTCGGGAGCACTTTTTTCTCAGTTTTTTCAAATGGAACACCCTGTAAATGAGGCCATACCAGGATAGCGCATACCATGAGCTTTCAGAAAATGTATCTAAAATATAAATAAACTCTTTTAAGTCACAAAAATATATTTTAAACTGGAAAGTCGCTTCGCTAAATCTAATTCTTGATAATGATCAAGTTCCAAGAGAACTAGCATTGAGGCTCGATTCTCAACAGCTGTTTCCTTGCTCTAACGATCCGTGCGATTTGCAATCCCTTAACACAAAGCCATTTTTTAGGAGGTACATAGTTAACTTCGTACCCGGAAGTAGATGTTTTAGAGAATATAATGAAAACGTGGCAACACTGGATGCAGCTGGAATGATGTTAGTCCAGCAAAAATTTAGTCGAACTGAAAACTCTGCTGGCTTGCAATTTATACTACTAATGAAATTACCAATATACACCGTGTCCCACGTAAGGCGGGCATTACAACTTTATGGAGAATAAATTAATTTGTATTTTCGCCATTTTCTGAGTATACATAAATAAAATGAACTCTGTGCAACTTTCGGTTATACCGGAAGTGACCACTAACTTCGTTATTTTAAAGGGAATATCCCATATTTTTTTTTAATTTTAGATTCAGCATGAAATTCTGTAAACAACGATACCCCATTTGCCTATTCTAGTTATAGCGGATTTGGCGTTATTCAATTTTTTTCTACATTTTTAGTCGCCGGTAGACATTTTCTTAAAGTCGTCTATCTCAGGTACTATATCTATCAGATACTTAAAATTTTAACCAGAGGTAGTAGATTGGATGTACTTCTTGAGAATATTTAGTTATTCATTATTTGTTGTACCGGGTGTTTGCAAATTATTTTTAAAAATGAAATTTTTTAAACATAAAAAACTTTATTATTTTAAAGGGAACGCCCTATATATTTTTTAAATTTAGGATTCAGCATGAAATTCTGTAAACAATGATACCATATTTGCCTATTCTAATTATAGCGGATTTGGCGTTATTCATTTTTTTTTAATTTTTAGTCGTCGCGCCGGTAGGCATTTTCTTAAAGTCGACTGTCTCAGGTACTATTTCTGTTGGATACTTGAAATTTTAGCCAGAAGTAGTAGATGGGATGTACTTTTAAAAACATTTACAGTTTTCTGCAACAAAATATGTCGTTTAAAAAGTTTAAATTTTTTTAATGATAAGGTACATACTAACTAAAAACAATTTTTATTAAAAGCACATGGTTTAAAAAAATCATTTTATCAAAAGTTCAAAATGCCCCCCGTTAGCTTCTAAACATTTTAACAATCTTTTTTCAACATGATTAGTTGTTGCTTTACGAATCATTTCACCATCTAACTCGTTAAAGGCATTCCGAACTCTTTGCTCTAATTCTTCTTTAGTATTAATTTGGGTAGAGTACACTAAATTTTTAATATGACCCCATAAAAAAAATCAACAGGAGTTAGATCTGGCGATCTTGCAGGCCAAAGCCAAGGACCATTTGGACCTATCCATCGGTCTTCAAAGAGTGCTGTAATTTCTTGATTTACATAGTATGTTGAATGTGCTGGGGCACCATCCAACTGGTACCAAAAATTATTATTTGGTAGCTGGTTTAAAATGTCGGCAACTACTTCTCTAAGAATTCTAATGTATCTTTCTGAGGTCAGTCTTTCATTATAAATGTAATAAAAAGCTCTTCCAAAACCGATCACTGCAAACACATTAAAACTAAATTCGTACTGAAATTGTGCTTCACGATAAAAATGTGGATTTTCGTTTGCCCAGAAATGACATTGCTTGCGATTGATGATCCCTTTACGTGTAAATTTCGACTCGTCTGACCACCAAATTTTGTTTCAAATCTCGGGATCTTCTTGAATTCGTACCAATAACCATTCGCATAATTCAGTTCGTCTTATTTGATCACCATCTCGCAACTCATGAACTTTTCTTTGTGCATAGGGATGCCATTTATTTGGTGCTAAAATTCGTTGTATTGACCCTCGACTAATATTTAAATTATCTTGAGCCATTCTAATGGAGGCGTGAGGATACGCAGTAAAATACCCTAATACGTTAATTAGATTAACTTCTTCATCTCGGATATAATGTTGACGGTTTCTTCCCGGGTTTTGTTTAAAATTATTCAAAAAGTTAGCTTCGATTCTATCAAATTTCTGTCTGTTCATTGGTGGTAAATGAGGGTATCGTTCATTAAACATGCGGCAGGTTCTACTTTTGATTCGATTACATTCTCCATGAATGTAAAATAAATTAAGAATATCTTGGTTGGTATATTCTTCAATATTTTCCATATTTTGAACGCAAAAAATACACAACTTAATACATAGAAATATGACAATTCAGTTTGTTGACAGATTGTTGTTTAGCATATTTCCACGGCATACTAAGATAAAAAATTAAAATGTAAAACTATACTATATTATGTAGGTGCATGCGTAAAATTTAAATTTAAATTTTCTTAAAATTGGCGAGAGATAATAATAGGGAATTAATAGTGCAAATGAAGATCAATGAAGAATAATTTTCTGAACAAAATGAAATAAAAATATACAGGATTTTCCATTTAAAATAAAAAAATATTCATGTTTAAAATATTTATTTTTTAAAATAATTTCCAAACACACAGTCGAACAAACGATGTACAAGTAAATTTAAAAAAGCAAATGTCTGCCGGCATATAAAAGTTTATAAAAAACTGAATAACGCCAAATACACTATAATTAGAATAGGCGAATGGGGTATCATTGTTTACAGAATTTCATGCCGAATCTAAAATTAAAAAAATATATAGGATGTTCAATTTAAAATAAAAAAGCTTTTTATGTTTAAAAAATTTCATTTTTAAAAATAATTTGCAAACACCCCGTACAACAAATAATGAATAACTAAATATTCTTAAGAAGTACATCCCATCTACTACCTCTGGTTAAAATTTTAAGTAACTGATAGATATAGTACCTGAGATAGACGACTTTAAGAAAATGTCTACCGGCGACTAAAAATGTAGAAAAAAATTGAATAACGCCAAATCCACTACAACTAGAATATGCAAATGGGGTATCGTTGTTTACAGAATTTCATGCTGAATCTAAAATTAAAAAAAAATATGGGGTATTCCCTTTAAATTAACGAAGTTAGTGGTCACTTCCGGTATAACCGGAAGTTGCACAGAGTTCATTTTATTTAGCATATTCGATTATGTATACTCAGAAAATGGCGAAAATACAAATTAATTTATTCTCCATAAAGTTGTAATGCCCGCCTTACGTGTGACACGGTGTATATTATGGGTCAAAATGTTGTTTTAATTGTGATATATATATATTTTTTTAAACTTTTAGTTTTTA